CGGCCCCCCGAGCCTTCCAGCCCCGACGGTCCGTGGGTTCCCGAGCCGTCAGCGCCTCCCTTGCCCTCCTGGTGCTGGGTCTGGGGTTGGAACGCCCTCGGGGCTGACGAGGCGACAGAGGCAGGCCCAGGCAGGGCTAAGCCCGGGCCGCCCAGGCCTGCACGTGATCCCTGCTCGGCGCCTTGCTTTTTCTTAAGTCAGGGTCTTGCTGTGGCATCCAGGCTGGAGCACAGTGGCACAGTCATGGCTGACCGCAGCTTCAGCCTCCTGAGCCCAGGTGATCCACCCAGCCTCCCGCGTAGCTGAGACTACAGACACACCACTACACCTGGCTGGTTTTTATGGTTTTGTAGAGACAAGGTCTCACTATGTTGTGCAGTCCGGTCTCAAACTCTGGTATCAAGTGATACTCTCACACTGGTCTCCAAAGTGCTGGGGTTCCAGGCATAAGTCTGAGCCCCAGTGTCTTTTTTTTTTTTTTAGTTGGAGTCTCGCTCTGTCACCCAGACTGGAGTACAGTGGCACACTTGCAGCCACCCCAGCGTCGACTTGCTGGGCTCCAGAGAGCCTTCTGCCTCAGTCTTCCAAGTAGCCAGAACTATAGGCACGCGCTCCCACGCCCGGCTAACTTTTTTAAAGTTTATTGTAGAGACGAGGTCTCACCAAGTTGCCCAGGCTGGTCTTGAACCTGCGGGCTCAGGCAGTCCACGCGCCTTGGCCTCCCAAAGTGCTGGGGTTACAGCCTGAGCCACTGTGCCCGGGCCCCAGTGTCTTCATCTCTGACTTGGGGACAGTAATAAACTGGGTTGTGCTGAGGATTAGAGGTGATGTAACGAGTCTGGTGTCTACATGAACAGGCATCCATGGAAGTTCTTGGGGGGTTCCCGTGCGTCTCATATCTATGTAAAGCTGAATTCTGTCCCCCCCACCTCTCAGGTACGACATCAAGGGATGTGAGGTGAGCCGCTGGGTGGAGCCGGCCCCCGAGGGCAGCCCCCTCGTCCTGGTGCTGAAGGACCTCAACTTTCAGGGCAAGATCATCTGCCTGGGTGAGCCATGGTGTGGCCACTGCCTATCCTTTCTCCATTCAGGGTGAAGTTTATTTTTTACTTTTTTGAGTCAGTGCCTCACCCTGTTGCCCAGGCTGAATTGCAGTGGCATGCTCATAGCTCACCGCAGTCTCAGCTTCCTGGGCTCAGGTGATCCTCCTGCTTCAGCCTCCCAAGAAGCCGGGACTATAGATGCACACTACCACACCCAGCTGATTTTTTTATTTATTGTAGAGACAAGATCTCGCTATGATGCCCAGGCTGATCTTGAACTCCTGGGCCCAGGTGATCCTTCCGCCTCAGCCTCCCAAAGTGGTGGGATTACAGGCATGAGCCACTGTGCCCACCCCCCAGGGTGAAATTTAAAAGGATGCCCTGACTGGCACTGCCCTCTGTCCAAGTCATTAAGAGCCCAGATTCTAGAGTCAGGAAGAGCAGAGTTCAAATTCTGGCTCCATGACTCCCTAGCTAGGTGGCTGAGGCAAATGGCAGATGAGTCTCCTTATTTGTGAAATAGGGACAGTAGTGACCCCTGCCCTCATGGGGCAGAGCGTATGGAGCACCGAGGCTGGCATGTGGTGAGTGCTCAGGTGGGGCACTGATGCTCTGGCAGGACCCCAGCGGCGCTGGTTCCTCCGCCAGATGGAACTGGATACCACCTTCCTCCGGGATCTCAATGTGCTGGATTACAGCCTCCTGATGGCCTTCCAGCATCTCCACGAGGATGAGAAGGGCCCGGGCAGCAGCCTCCTCTTCCGCGTGGCCAGGTGAGCCCCTCACAGAGTCAACAGCAAGAATATGGTGGTGAGGGCACGGGAAAGACAGATGTGGAGGTGTGGGCATGCCTTCTGTGGGGAACAGTGCAGGTGATGGCTCAGAGGCTGAGGAGTGGTGTGTGTGAACACTGTATATGGGGGGGCACAGGAAAACACTTGCCGGTAGAGCCGGGGGCACAGGTGGGTCACAGTAAGGGACAGAAAGACAAGGTCCAGTTGGACAGGGACATTGGTGCCTATTTGAAGAATCTTCCCATTTTCCAGCCAGGAATGTGGGGCCTTTGAAAGTTTCAGAGCAGGGAAAAGAACTGTTTAGTTTTTGCCTTAGAAAGAATCTTTGTCTGGCCAGACGTAGTGGCCATGTAATCCCAGCACTTTGGAGTCTTGACTTCCTAGGCTCAAGTGATCCTCCTGCCTCAGCTTCCTGAGTAGCTGGGACTGCAGGCCACACCATTACACCCGGCTGATTTTTTTGGATTTTTTTGGGTAGAGACAGGATCTTGCTATGTTGCTTGGACTGGTCTTGATCTCCTGGGCTCAAGTGATCCTCCTGCCTCGGCCTCCCAAAGTGCTGGGATGACAGGTGTGAGCCACTCTGCCTGGCCTGTGCCATGTAGTGAATGGTGCGCCTCTCAACCAGGGCTTCACATTACTCACCCTTCACATTACCCAACTTTACAGACCTGGGCGCGTAGGAGGGGTGGGACAAACAAGTGGTGAGGTGGGCTGCAGGGCCAGGCTTACAAGGCGGATTGGCTGGGCCTTCCCAGGAGAGGTGGCACCCTCATCTTCCTGTCGGTCCCCAGGTCTGTGCAAGGGGCGCAGAGCCCAGAGGAGCCAGAAGCCCAGAATCGCCGGCTGCTGCCGGACACCCCCAATGCCCTACACATCGTGGATGGGCCGGAGCAGCGCTATTTTGTGGGCCTGGTTGATCTCGCCACGGTCTATGGCCTCCGCAAGCGGCTGGAGCACCTGTGGAAGACACTGCGCTACCCTGGCCGGACCTTCTCCACTGTCAGCCCGGCTCACTATGCCCGTCGCCTCTGCCAGTGGGTGGAGGCACACACTGAGTGACCGTGCCTGGCCCCACTCCTCCCATATGGACTGTGGGCACCTTCCAGGAAAGCTGGGTCCCGGAAGTTCCTGGCAGCTGCCTGAGGTTCCCCGAGCTGACCACCAGAGGGCAGCATCCACCAACTAATACCATACCTGCGGTCTTCCACGCTCACCACCAGAGGGTAGCATCCTCTAATACATACCTGTAGTCTTCCTGCTGACCACCAGAGGGCAGCATCCACTTAAACTATACCTGCGGTCCTTCCACTGACCACCAGAGGGCAACATCCTCAAATACGTATCTGCAGTCCTCCCGCTGACCACCAGAGGGCAGCATCCTCATACATATACCAGAGGGCAGCATCTCCTAATACCATAGCTGCAGTCCTCCTGCTGACCACCAGAGGGCAGCATCCCCTAATATCAACCTGCGGCCTCCCTGCTGACCATCGGAGGGCAGCATCCTCTAATACATAGCTGTAGTCCTCCCGCTGACCACCAAAGGGCAGCACCCGCGAATACATATCTGCAGTCCTCCCGCTGACCACCAGAAGGCAGTATCCAATACCATACTTGCGGTCTTCCCACTGACCACCAGACGGCAGCATCCTATACCAGAGGACAGTATCCACTAGCACCACACCTGCGGTCCTCCCGCTGACCACCAGAGGGCAGCATCCCCTAACTAATACCATACCTGCGGTCCTCCTGCTGACCACCAGAAGGCAGCACCCCCCAATACCATACCTGCAGTCTTCCCACTGACCACCAGACGGCAGCATCCTCTAATACATATCTGCAGTCCTCCCGCTAACCACCAGAGGGCAGTATCCTCATACAGATACCAGAGGGCAGCATCCCCTAATACCATAGCTGCGGTCCTCCTGCTGACCACCAGAGGGCAGCATCCCCTAATATCATACCTGCGGTCTCCCTGCTGACCATCGGAGGGCAACATCCTCTAATACATAGCTGCAGCCCTCCCGCTGACCGCCAGAAGGCAGTAGCCAATGCCACACCTGCGGTCTTCCCACTGACCACCAGACGGCAGCATCCTATACCAGAGGACAGCATCCACTAGCACCACACCTGCGGTCCTCCCGCTGACCACCAGAGGGCAGCATCCCCTAACTAATACCATACCTGCGGTCCTCCTGCTGACCACCAGAAGGCAGCACCCCCCAATACCATACCTGCAGTCTTCCCACTGACCACCAGACGGCAGCATCCTCTAATACATATCTGCAGTCCTCCCGCTAACCACCAGAGGGCAGTATCCTCATACAGATACCAGAGGGCAGCATCCCCTAATACCATAGCTGCGGTCCTCCTGCTGACCACCAGAGGGCAGCATCCCCTAATATCATACCTGCGGTCTCCCTGCTGACCATCGGAGGGCAACATCCTCTAATACATAGCTGCAGCCCTCCCGCTGACCGCCAGAAGGCAGTAGCCAATGCCACACCTGCGGTCTTCCCACTGACCACCAGACGGCAGCATCCTATACCAGAGGACAGCATCCACTAGCACCACACCTGCGGTCCTCCCGCTGACCACCAGAGGGCAGCATCCCCTAACTAATACCATACCTACGGTCTTCCTGCTGCCCACCAGAAGGCAACCGCTTCTAAACGTAGCTGCAGTCCTCCCGCTGACCACCAGAGGGCAGCATCCCCCAACTAACACCGCATGCCTGCAGCCCTGTTTGCTGGCAGTGGTGTGCCCAGCAGCGGGCCGAGGACCCTGCTGCTATACGGCTCCTCCAATCCTCAAAACATGCTAGTATTCCCTTTTGGTGGACCGTGAAACGGGGGCTTGGGGCGGAGGGCTGTCAAGGTCTTTAGCGGCACTTGGCCGTGCCCTTTGCACTTCAGAGTGTGTTCTTGACCCCCAACTCCTGTAGCCTCATGCTCGGGGGAAGGGGCAGGCGGGACGCTCCCCCACGCGTGTCCAGGTGGGGAGGCTGAGGCCCAGAGCCCCCAAGGGCCTACGCGTGGGTAAGTGGCAGGCTCAGCCCCAAGGACCCAGGCCTCCAGATCCTGCTGGCCTCCCTCTGGGATGGCCTCCTTGCTCCAGGGATGGAGGGGGGAGAAGCTGGGGTCGTGGGGGCTTCCTGGAGCTCTGGGAGGCGTTCTCTGGGGCCCGTGTTGCCCTCAAGTGAGCACTGCCCTCCTCTGGAAGTCGCTTTCTCAGCTGCGGAATGGGTGTGCGCATCAGCGGTCCGGCCACGGGCCTGGCTGCACGGACATCTCCAGGGGCTGCAGAGCCCCGATCGCCCTCCTCACGCCTCCGGGAAACCCCAGCCTGGCCTCTGACCCCAGTTCGGTCCACCCGTGCCCAATGGGCCTCTCCTCCAGAGCTGCTCTCGGGCCTGGCTGTGTGACCCGGGGAAGGCGCTGACCCTCTCTGTGCCTCGTCAGTCTACTTTTTGACCTTTGTTCCCGCTACACGGGTCGAGCCTGACAAGCGCAAAGGCTGCAAACGACCTCGCCATCTCATTAAATATGTCCTGAGCACCTACCGTGTGGCTGGCCCTCTGCTGCGTTGGGGGACCCGGGGTGAGCAAGATGCAGATTCCGCCTGCACAGAGCTCACGCCACGGGGACTCCTGTTCGGGGTGACGAAGCGAGCCGTGTGGCCAGGCCCTGGGGCTCTGCAGCCGGGGAAGGGCCCCCGCTGGTCACTCGCGGCGGGGGCGCCGGGAGAGGGGCTCGCCCGCACCGAGACCTGAAGAGTCGGGAGCGTCCCAGGCCAGGGGCCCCGCCGAGGCCTGGGTGGGGACCTTGCGTTTGAGGGAAAACACTTCGGGGTGAGCGGGGCTGGCCGGGCCAAGAGCAGCCCGGGGCCTGGGGAAAGCGGCTCGGTGGCACCAAACACCCCTTCCCCTCCTCCGTCGGATGCTGCCGGCAAAGTCGGAGGGCAGAAGGGAGAGGACGGAGAGCCTCCTGCCGCGCTGGGGTGCCAGTTCCTGGAAAGTGCACAGCGTTGCGCTTCGCGGAGACGAGATCTCGCTGTGTTGCCAGGCTGGTCTGACTCCTGGGCTAAGCGGTCCTCCCGCCTCGCCTCCCAGAGCGCCGGGACTGCCGGCATGAGCCGCTCCGCCCAGCCGGTGACATGCTCTAAACATCGACATCCCTCCTGGTTGTCTGGGGGACCTCAGGTGGTTACTCAACCTCTCTGAGCTGGCATGAGCTGAGCGGAAACCTGCTCTCGCCCAGCAGGAGGTTGAGCCACAGAGCACGCGAACCCCTTTGTTCGGGTGGCGGGAGCAGGGGTCTGGCTCCGGCGGGGCTGAGTCAGAGCCCCAGGATTCCTCTCTGATGTCGGGTGATCCAGCACCCTCCCCCGCCTCCGGCCGTGAGCCTAGGCGGAGCCTGAGGCTGGACGGGGAGGAGGCTTGTCCAGGACCTCACAGGACCCAGGACCCCAGGCTTGCCTGACCTGTGCACTCCGCAGACACCCCTGGCGCCTAGTGTGTGTGGGCGCCGTGCAGGAGCTGGGGTGCCCTGAGGACGTGGCTGGTCTGCCTCTGCCCGCACAGAGCGTAAGTCTGGGGGGCATGTGGACCATGAACAAGCAACCCGGGAAACCACAGGGCGATTTCAGAGCATGGCAAAAACTACGGAAAAAGTAGACGGGGGAGAGGCAAGAGGGTGGGGTGCAGTGCTGGGCAGGGTGACTGGCAACGTCTGAGCCAAGCGACAGGAAGGAGCCGCCACATGACTAGAGCAGTCCAGGAGGACACAGTGAGTGCAAAGGTCCTGCGGTGGAATAACATCAGTGTGATCGGCCTTGGGGATGGCCAGGGTGGGTGGAGGGTGTCGAGAGGGTGCCAGGCGCTCATACTGCCAGTTTGAGGCCAGCCTGGGCAACATAGCAAGAGCTCATCTCTACAAAAAATTTAAAAAACTAGCGGGGCACGGTGGTGTGCCCCTGTAGTCTCAGCTACTCAGGAGGCTGAGGCGGGAAGATAATCTGAACCCAGGAGGTTGAGGCTGCAGTAAGCTGGGATTGCACCACAGCTTGCCAGCCTGAATGGCAGTGAGATCTCACCTCCAAAGAGTAAAAATAAAAAAGAAGAGGGGTGCCGGGTTCGGGTGGGGGAGGGAAAGCGGATGGAGAGGAGAGGTGCCGGGAGGCTGGGACCGCCAGGCCGGAGGGGCGCGCTGGCAGCCCGGAGAGCCGAGCAGATGGCAAAGAACTGCGACACACAAAGAGGCTAGGAAGGAGAAGTTTGTTTAAAAGCAGACCGGAGAGAGAAAGAGAAGGAAGAGGAAGACTCACCTCCCCAAGGTGGGGGAGGGGACCAAAGCCAGGAAGCATGGCGACAGCCGGCTCGGAGAGCACACGGCCACACCGGACTCTAGCAAGGCAATGGCCCTGGTTGCTTGGGGTTGAGTCCTTTTAACCATTCCCCTGGGGGGAAGATCGTTGGGTGGCTGGGTGGGCTGCTTCCTCGGCATCACCAAGGGCCAGGCAAGCGCAGGTAATGACAGCAGGTGATGGACAGCAGGCAGAGGGGTGGGTTGGTCACGTGACTGCTGCCAAATTCCTGGACCACGGTGGAGTGCTCATACTATTACTTCTATGGCTTTGGCCTTGACAAGGAATCAGAAGTCTACGAGAGATTATTATGCTAAACCACGAATGGTTGGGCTGTCCTGGTCTTGCATCTGAAGGAGATTTGCCCAGGGGGGCTGGGATAGGCTGCTGTTTGTCCTGCAGTAGAATGTCTGAAGGCTTTCTAATGGCTACGCTGAGGCAAGAAGACGAAAGAATAAGCTAAGTTTCTTCTAGGTTTCTTTCTTTCTTTTTTTTTTGAGTTGGAGTCTCACTCTGTCGCCCAGACTGGAGTGCAGCGGCCGCTCCCGGCCACCGCAGCCTCGCCCTGCTGGGCTCCGGCGAGCCTTCCGCCTCCGCCTTCCGAGTAGCCAGCCGGAATTACAGGCGCGCGCTACCACGCCCGGCTGATTTTTGATTTGTTGCAGATGAGGTCTCGCTGCCCAGGCGGGTCTCGAACCCGCGGGCTCAGGCGATCCACGCACCTCAGCCTCCCAAAGGCGCGGGATGACAGGCTGAGCCACGGAGCCCGGCTCTTCTCCTAGGTTTCTGTAGCCACCTTCCCAGTGGGCTTTTGCCAAAACCTCTCCGAAGAGCTTCATCGGAGGCTGTGGGGCTTCCTGGTCTCAGTCCCACTGTGGACTTAGTCCTCAGCTGCCCTGGGAGCCTGGGCCGTGCGGGCAGCCCGTGTCCGGCGAGGAGGAGCAGGGAGAGGAGCAGGGAAGGGCGCGGGCTCTGGGGGCCGCCGCCCAGCGAGCGGGCGGCTGCGGAGGGCGGTG